ACTAAAATATGAGCTACTGTTCACACGTTCTCCTGTGGGTCGAGACTTCATACAGTTAATATGCCGATGTGTAAAATCAAAATGTGTTTCTTTGATTTTTAAAAAGAATTGATTGTATTTGACTGTACCAATCACCCTGTCATTTCATCCTGTTTCTCCTATCTTGTATTTCCTTTCTTTGTGTTTTTCCTTCCACTCTATAGGTGTTCATACCCATGTTTTTGGCTGCCCCTCTTCCTCTTCCTCTTGCATGTTTTCACCCTCTGCTAATCTGTTGCATGGTTCACCTCTCTGGGTAACCAAAGGCATGCCTCGGTCCTGTATTTTGCCATCTACTGGCGGCTGGGAACAGGTTTCTCATCTGCCCGTGTGTCTGCAGTAAAGAGAGCTTGGTGTTTTGAATAAAATGGGGGAGGTTTACTGAACCACAGTGCAGCGTTTGAATGGCTGTTTATGGTGTTGGATTGGGCAGAGGCGTGTTGTGTGTTTGCTGAATTTGTCAAGTCAACAGTGGCATAAAATGTGCAGGGCCTTTGGTTGGGTGTCCTTGGACCCAGGCAGAGCGATATGCTGTAGTGTTGCATCCACACTAACCCCTTTGTGTTGATGCCTACTTAATGTTTGGGAGCTGTTGACACTATTAATAGCATGACACTTACTAGGCCAGTGCTGGCAGTGCAAGGGGCTGACCCACCACATTAAACGCCCAAAAGTAGTTCTGTTGTTTTAAATTCATACGGTAGAACAATAATAGTAATTCAATAGTGTGCAATACTGAAATCACTTCTAAGGTCACCAAAGTTACAAACAAACAGTAAATTGTGTCAGGTCACTTGAGAAACTTGATTTTATGGAAACCAGTGCAGAGGGAATTACACATTTAGAGTGATTTTATATTGTTCTGCACTTTAATCAGTCTAAATTTACTGCCATGAATACGTAGGAGCGTTCCAAAGAAACTCACACTCAAATCTTTTCAAATTGATTTCACTTCTCAAAATGGCTCAACATTTCCAGTCTGGCTGCCATGTGGTGTGTACAGTATGTATCTGTGGTGTGTTTGTGTAGCTTTACTGTCGTTGTCTGAAGTGTGTGGTAACATTTGACACGGTATGCGGTCCTGGTTGAGCTTGTGCTTTAAACGTTTGGGTGGTGATTGAAGTTCTCTGCTTTTACGGGCTGGGTAGAGCTGGG